TGATGAAATAATACTCACTTTCTAATGATCTAATTTAATCGAATAAAATACGTTGTTATAGTAATAAAAAGTCACTATACTGTGGTATACAGTCACTATGCAATTTTTATGTGGTATAGTTGCGTATAGTATCGTATAGTGCAACTATACGGTATAGAACCCTCACTATACGTATAGTTCCGAACACTAATTCTACTTGATCTGAAGTCGCCAAGTCCACAAAAGATCCTTGCTATTAAAGGACCCGGAATGATCAACAGTCAATTCATCTGAAATATTCATATTATGTAGGTACAAAATATTTTATGCAATGAGTGGCTTGCAAGTGTTGACGAATACAGATTCGGGAGGAACCTTGCGACTCGAAGTCCGAAGCTGTGGCTCAAGTTAGATTTATTTTGTGTTCCCCCTGACTTGAATCGTCACATTGGACACGAAACTTAATTTCAACATCTTTTAAATTCCATTCGCATCTATACCTTTGGTAGGTACCTGGACGGACCAACTACCATCCCGCCGGCTTCACCCAGTCACAGGCCTGGCTTACTTATGTTGGTTGGGGAATGAGGGGAAATCGAGGCAGACAGTGCTGACCGCAGGATGCCTAATATGCCTTACCGGCTTAGCACCCCACGGATTGCGCAGATGCGCAGATACGCACCACCGCAGTGTTGCATTTCCACCTTGCGAGGTAGGTATAGGTGCAGAGATGTCATAGGTAGGTACCTATATATCAATCCAGCTGCATCAACGACCCTCTCGAAGAAAAGGAGGTTCTTTATCAATTTTTAGACCTTCTAAACATACCCTCACATTCCCTTCACTCACCTTCGCTCACCTTACCTCGACTCCTCGATACTCCTTCCTGCCTTTTCCTTACTAACGCACCCCGTAACCATATATCATTTTCAGCATCGTACACACAGTCCGACACAACTAAATGGCTTGCAAAGTGATTCATGAGTCCATCGGGGCCATCTACATCTGGTATTGCTGCCACTGTCTCAATGGACCTGCAAACCACAACCAAAATGGATAAACAAAGTGGCCAAGTGAACACCGGCTCTGGACTCAGATCCATCGACCAGAGTCGCCGTAAATGGCCCAAACGTCCGCTGCAATTGGATTACGCGAACTTCAGCACAAGTCAACCCGCACAAGGCCATACGGATCACCCCCTCAACCCTCCTACTCGTTTACTCCCCCATTCTCTTTCCACCACGACAGTATGCAGAGCCTTCGATTCGAAACCGAATTCATTTCTGTCATACACCCCCATCACAAATGTTACACCTTTCCCTATATCTGGCTTTGCGGGCCAGATTGCGGGACCGCCCCGACGCATCTTCCCCCCTACTCCTTCTCCCCTTTTCATTACCCTCACCAAGTCAATGTGTAGAGCACTCGATCCTAAATCGAGATCATTTCTACCACAAGATCAACTCAAAGCTCTCGCCCCACCTTTAGTGAAAGAAGAATTGAGAAGAGCTATGCCCACACTCCCTGAATCTGTTCTCGACAATTATACGACAGAGATCTTTGCCAGACATAACACTGACCAGGAACATCCTCCGCCACGGCACATGAAGGCCCCTCCCTCGTGGCAGAGTGATAGCACCAGACAACTTATCAAGACGTTCGTAGTTCTTGTGCTTCTTGATAGGGTAGAGAGTATTCCATCATTCATATATGGAGGGTTTACAGACTCGTTGCTCCCAATTGATCACTCTCTATTCTCAAATGAAAACACCTCTCATGGTCTCTTTTCTCCCATCGGAAGGATATTCGATAATTGGACGCCAACCGGTATCAAATTGTTTATGGAAATGCAATGGATAGTTCTATCCCCATTTCTGGGTAACGTAAAAGGGGATGTTTCTTTGTACAACTTCAGTGCCCAGACTGTCCTTCCCATATTCGATAATGATGGCATAACCAAGCCGGCGACAAATTTAGGCGGGTATAGCATTGTGCGAAGAGTCAAAATTCACTCCTGGCATCACAGTTTTCAACACGGCCAGGTACGTTTCAAAGTCTACTAGGTAATCATTGCAATAAAGGAATTCTAAATATTTGTCTTCTAGGATGAGCCATCTTTCGCTCTGAAAAGATTGCATTCCCCGCATATCAAGGACTTCCGGCGTGAGGTTATTGCTCTAAGACGCTTTGTGATTTCGCCAAATTTACATATCATCAAGCTTCTAGCCGCGTTCCGACATGGGACATCCTTCTACCTGCTCTTCCCCTGGGCTGAAGGCGGAAACTTACGCTCGTTTTGCAAAGAAAATCCCAACCCAGTCATCCATGGCTCCTTCTTGGTATGGATTGTCGAACAATGTCTCGGTATTGCTACTGCATTGCATCAAATCCATCATGGTCACTATACAGAGGTTACAAATGCTGGAAACAGCAGCGGCCCAACGGATATCTCTTACTACGGACTCCACGGGGATATCAAACCTGCCAACATCCTGTTGTTCGAGGACGGTCTTAACGGTGAAAACCCTATCTGGGTTCTTAGCGACTTTGGTCTCGGTGGACTACACCATAAGACGGAGACCAAAGTCGGTAACCGCCCCACTGGATTCTCGCCTACCTATCGGGCCCCGGAACTTGATATAAAGGGAACTGTTGACAGCGCCTATGACATCTGGTCCCTAGGATGCGTTTTTCTTGAGATTGCTGTATGGTTACTTCGTGGCTGGGATGGAGTCGAGTCGTTCGCTCTGTCTCGGGTTTCTACCGGCGAGCTAGTGAAAAAAGCCGGATGGATGAACGATGAGTTCTTTGAAGTTCTGCCCCCGCAGCCACTCGGCGCAGCGAAAGCAAGGCTCAAGTCGAGCGTCAATGAGGTAACGTTCATGATCCTGTGCGGATAAATCCATCTGACATCGATATAGTGCTTTAGCAGCAATCGATATTTCCATCCTCGCATCGATGACTTTTTAGATTTGATACACGATGATCTACTTGATGTCAATTGGGAAACAAGGATCAATGGCTCATTCCTTTCCGAGAAGCTTGAGTGTCTCCGGGGCAAATGCCTAGAAGATCCGGTATACACAATAGCTCTCCCACGGCCACGGAAACCGCCGTGGTCTTATCAACAACTTGCAAGTCCAAAAGACAACAACTCAATATTACATTGCCAAACACAACAAATTCAGGTCAACATGGCCCAAATACCCCTTCAAAACGAACTGGATGATCCGGGCATGATGCAAATTCCTCAGGGTATCTTCTGGCCTGGTTTCATGCAACAACCCCATGACACAATGGATAGGGTGGTACCTTTAGATACCATGCCAAACAATAGGCAGCAGGATACATTTCGAGATGAATCTGCGCTTCCGTTAAACCGAAAGTCTCCTAATGAAACTCTCTTCAGAGATCTTAACGGCCGAAAGAGAACATTAGACGACATAACAGATTCCATCAACACAGGAGATCAGCGGAAGAAAAAAGCACGCAAGAAAAACGATTCGCTAGCAACAGGGTCATCCAGCTGTGAACAGCCAAATATTACAACACAAGATCTGTCTCAAGCAGCTGCACAGGAGTGTCTGGAGTCAACAAATCCAACCGGAGAGAAGCGACTATTTGCATGCCCTTTCCATAAAAGGAATCCTGCAAGGTATAGCACGAAGGCCTGGAAATCATGCATTGGGCCAGGCTGGGAAATATCAAGGCTCAAGTTCGTCTTCACGTTTTATTCTAACACAGTACCTAGGTAGGTATATATAATATGGTCACGGCTAATGGAAATTATCTAGAGAACATATATACCGCAGGCATTTCTTGGCTTGCTACAGGTGCGATCGTTGCTTCGGTGAATTTCAGAGCAGTTCCGATCTCCACTGCCACTCTCGTTCAGACCCGCCGTGCCAAAAGCGAGATTCCGATGTCGACTTCGATACGATTGATGAGACGCAGAAGGCTCAAATCAAGAAAAAGCCGCGAGGTGTCTCGGATGAACAGAAGTGGGACGAGATCTACCGAACTATCTTCAAGTTGGATTCCACCATCAAGATTCCATCACCCTGTGAGTGGTTAGGACCTGACAAGCATTTTCATGAGATACTAATACATGGTTCGACAGACTGCGAAACCATCACAAGTAGAATCGATGTGACGACAGCAGAGAAAACTATCGGTCTTGGCTCACTCGCCGATTTCGAAATTTACCTTCGTCGCTTGGCGGATGACGGTAGTGAACAGGACACATCAGCGATCAACAATTGTCTTGACCTCGTGCAGCGATTTCAGCGAGGAATAACTAGCGAGCAGCCGGGGTTAACAATCGACACGCCTCCTCTGACATTCGATTATCCGGACGATGGTACTGGGACATATGGATCTGAATCACAGGGATTTCCTTCGTCAACCGTAGCTGATAGCATCACTATTCCTAACGCCGAGGAATTGAACGATCTCTCTTACGAAGATAGCTCATTCAAAGCGCATTTCGACAACATATTTCCTTTCGGCGAGCCGTCTAATTTCCTAGATTCTTTAGATCTAGGAGGCAACAGTGGGCTGCTACCGGGAGGATAAACGGTAAGAGTATTCTTTTTAGCGTGTATTCTTTTTTCCTTGGGTAGGTACTTTAAGGTATGAATGATACCCATTGCAAGTGTTGTGGTGGTGCAAGGGTGCGAAAAACTCAAGGAGCATGTATAGGAGCGCTTCTCCTCTCAGGGTATCATCACGAGTTACGACGAGACAATCAAATGACCCTTTCTATTTTTCTCTCTTCCTTTTCTATGTATCTTAGGCATACGGTGGGCTAAAAATAAATTAATTTATATATAATATGATGTGACGACTTGGTGAATCTATTGCATATACCTAGTAGTTAACATTCATAAAATTTTGCTGGAAGTTCTTTTAAGGCGTCGTTTGAAAAATCCTCACTTTTTCCGCATTGGGAATTGTGAGGGTAGGTACCTATACCTAGGTAGCTAGGTACATAAGCTTCAATTGTTGACGACGAAATCATCGGCCTCGTGGCGCAACGGTAGCGCGTTCGACTCCAGATCGAAAGGTTATCCGTTGTAAGTAATCCATTCAAACCAATGGTTAAGCAAGCAAGCAAAAAACTAACGAGAAAATAGCAAATCGGGTCGGGGTCAATTCTTCATTTGGATATTTCGGAAGCATCCGAAGTAGCCTAAACTTTTTTGGCCGGTCAAATGGTGTCCATAAAATTTTTATTATCGATACGTAAGAGGGTGAAGAGGGCTGACAAACACAATCTTAATTTTTCAGCTCACGATAGCTTCAATTAGGTAACCTGGAACCACGGAAGGAAACGGCCACTCTCTTTCTAAGTGTAGAAGTACATTACATAATCCGGACTTTTAGCCAACCCCGAACTCTGAAAATCCTGGATGGTAGGTACATGAAAAGAAAGTGCGAGGCGCACAGTACAGGAGGGTTTTATCTACTAGGTTCCCAGTCTCCAACTCTCAGGCAGCCTTTTGAAACTTAAACCTTTACATCATCTTCTAAACCCATCACATCTCCTGAAGCAATCGACACAAAGACGCGTAGAGATACACGAAAAGACTAATCGGACCAAATATCATCATCGGAGCGATCGAGACGGTAAAATGACCGAAGAACATTTGCCTTCGCGCTACCGTGTCCCAAAATTCAGTAACCATAACCTTTAGCGCACCGTCCCATTTCCATGGTCCGATAAGCCTAAACTTGGTGTTGAAGTTAGCACCAAGCGCCCAAGTGAGCGGTAATTTATACCAGCAACCACTGTTGTCACTACCATCTTTAGTCCCGGAGAAGCCGAGGCGCAGAATATCTCCGAATGACGGCGCCGAACCCATATCTAGAGCTAGTTGATACGCATAACTCTCGTGGTCAACACCGAATCGGATTCGGGAGTCTGTCTTGGATATGAGTCGGTAGTGCCCCTCATCTTCGGAAAGTAAAGGTGCGCCAGCTACTCGCTCTGGCGATAAAAGATTGAGCACCCACAACTGTGCCTGGAATTCAGTGAGAGGCGGGATAGCGCCCAGATTAGGCCGTACAAACCCAATAAACCCTATGGAAGGATCATCTCGCGGCCAAATATCACGCACTAGCTTGTCCTGGTAGTATCGAGGATTGCACCTATCTTTCCCGAGAAAGGGGAATTCGTGCGTGTAGCCTGTGCAGAATACTACAATATCCGGCTTGATGACTTCCTTTCTTATCCGCGCGTATTCGGGTCGTCCATTGTTTTTGAAATTGACAACACCATTTTCATCTATGCATTCCGGCCAGGACGCAAGATCTATTTGCTTGCCCTTGGTTGTTTCTAACGTATTTGGCGTCTGGACTATCCACGAGCGAATGAGATGCAGGAGTCCTTGTGGCTTTTTCGGTTTCCAAACCGCATTAAGATATGGACTAACTTTGTAGCCAGACTTATTGAAGAATACTTGACACAAGTCAGCAATTATTTACCCGCGAAACAGCCAATAGCAAAGGAACCCGACGGAAAACATACTCTCGGAAGTAGACCATCCCTTAGGTTTCCCTCCGACCCATTGGTCCGTTCCGTGTGTCGTACCCCACGAAGTCCAGAGAATCCACCTAACATAGTAATCGTAGTACGTCCATAAAAGATTGCTGTTCCTCAACCAGGGGTGTACGTATATCGTGTCGAAAAGACTCGCTCGCGAGACATCGATGGGCACTTGGGGACGATCTAAGGGGCTTCGTCGTTGCGCAAATATTAGTCTTGGATTTGGGTTCCTCTGTAATACCAGTGAGTCTCAGGCGTGAATCCTTTTCTTGTTACTTATAGATGACCGGCCTACCTTTGGAGCGAGATGAAAACCGTTCCTATGGCTTAGCACTACTCGCTTCGTCGGCGAAGTCACAGCAAGTAGAGAAACGTCGGCTCCGGTCTCGCCACTACCTAATATGAGCACCGTCTTCCCCACTCCGAACTGTTCTCTCTTCTTCAATCGTGAAGAGTGGAGTACCACCGGTATTTTCTCGATGCCCTTGACTTCAGGGATGCTAGGATTAACATGCAATCCAGAGCAAACAGCAATTGCATCGCACTCCCAAGTGTGCAGCTGGCCCCCATACAAATACGTCACGGCATGGCCGCCAGACTCTTGACTCTCGACGCTCTTTACTAAGCTCGAAAAAGTAATGTGCGGCCACAATTTGAAGTGTGTGCAGTAGTCGTTGAGGTATTCGACGTAGCGCTTCGCACTAATAAAATCCGGCTCGTCATCCCTACATCGAAAATCGGAGAAACAGGTGAGTTGCCTCGATGAGACCAGCTAACAACCGTGTGTTAGCATATCAGAATAAAGGTGCTATTAGCCACTAGCTCGAAAATAGAATAAAAGGGGTCCCCTGTACCTCAGCATCCTCATATGTCCTCGCCAGGAACGTCCCGCCTACACCCGTCTCAGACTCGAAGAGGCGGGCTTCGATAGTTTTCGTTCCTAGAGTCTTCTCTGCAGCTAAGAGATACTTCAGTGTCACGAGCCCGGAAGGACCTGCGCCTATTATCGCGACCCGCATCCCTGCTGCCGTTTCCGGGTGGGTAGTGCAAGATCCGATATGAACGATAGATCCTGTGGGCTAGATGATGTGGTCCTACAACGTGCAAAGCTGTCACCCATCTCTCGAGGCAAGAGGAAGAAGCATGAGCTCGCTTTAATATCGGCAGGTCGGTCCTCCTCCATATTATATTCTACGCCTCCCTCGGGCAGTTCTTGTTCCTCAGCCTCCTTCGGTCCCACTCCAGACGATCACGAGAACTCTTGTCTTCCCATCTTCATTTGGATCTATATTTCTCTCAATCTTGCTAGCTTCCGTCACCGTCCCTCGTCCGCCTCCTCGACAAAGGGCGTGGGTACTGTGCTCCAGTTACAGTGATTCCTCGTTCCGAGAGCGGGTAGGCGAGACACGGGGGAGGCGACCGCGAATCACAGCGCACATGGCCGTGATGACGCCAAGGAATGAGGCGTGCTCTCGTTGTACGCCGCGATCTCGACTAAAATCGGATTCGGACTGTACCTTTCACGTTACATAAACGATGTCTTACCACCCAGCTTCTCCCTGGCAGGATGTCTCGCTCCAAAATGCAATCTCATATTGGTTTCCCCTCCTTATCGACTTTATGCTACCGCTAGCGCCGCCCCCATTTTGTCAGTGGCCGACCCTCACGGCCCGGCCCCAAGTATGGGAGTTGGTGCTCCAGGTACTCCAATAGGACGTCAGAAGGACGCCAATGAGGACCGACTCTAAACGAGGCTGATACAAGTCGAGCAGGCATATTCCTAGAAGAAAATCCATGTCGCTGACACCGTTTCGTTTTGGACGTGGCCGATCGACCGAACCCGTAGGACACGAACGTTGGTCGGACGCAAGGATATTCGCGTGGCTGCAGGCACTGACCAACGGACGCAGCCGTGACTTGAGATTGCTGCATGCAGATCACAGCCATCACGAATTACTGCCAGGGTAGTATATAGTAGGCAAGTATTAAAGCCATCGAAAAAGCACAAACACAATTGAAATGAGATCTTGCTCGGAAACGTCATGATGGCCTCGATGATTGTCGAGACGCCTTTGCCAAGCTGATATGCTTTCTTCGTACAAGCTAGTTGACGACCGTTCGAGGCTGTTGACAGAACACCACTAACACATCCTCTCTTATGTCGTGCTTCCGGGAGCGGTCCCCGTGCGATTGGGTAGTGTTGGACCAAGCAGTTTGCTAGAACTCGCACGTATGAGGACTGATAGGTATATGTCGGCCAAGTGTAGCCGATGACATCTCTTCAAGGCCCGAGAGAAAACAGAAAATTTCAAAAGATAATGCATGTCATCCAAATTGGAATGGAGATTTCGCATGCTCTCTTTTACGATAATTGATTGGAGTACCGATCGTGAAGGGCAAATCTGATGTTTGATTGGATATTGGATTGCCCGAAATAGAATTTAGGTACAGATTCGAAATTCTTCTCCCAATATCGCAGAACCTAAGGATAGATCGTCTGTCCTACGGGCCGGGCTGCAGGTCTGGGGAAATCCTCTCCGACCCGAAGTGTTTCGGCTTCAGACATATCTACATACTACTTCCTAGTTCCCCTATCCAGGATGTAGGGTGTGCCTTTCGGTTTCCACTGGTAAAATGTCTCTCATGTAGAACGGTCCGAGATTAGGTATTCCAGGGTTCAGGAGTAGACGCCAATCTCAGAGCTTCGTTCTTCGAACACAGAAATGAATCATCGTAGACATATAACGGTCGATTAGGTCATACTCAATCCTGCCGCGAATTTTCTGACTGTCGACAGTACTTTAAACATCATATCCGAAAATTTATGGTTGTTGTCCAATATATTCTAGCCAATGATACATCGTACTATACGAGGAGTGAAATGTCAGAAGACGTTGGATTATCTACTATCACCGTTCTAATAACCCTCTCCGCGCTTGAAGATATCCCGCTTGCTTAATATCCAACATTTTGGAAAGCAAGGATAAAACGCCACTATTTTCGTAACACCTTTTACACTATATGTAATATTCCAACATTTGAAATATTTGTACTCTTCGTATAGCCAAGTAATTAGGTAACTAGGAAGTCATACGAGAGTATTGCCATCAACATCCTTATGGTAACAAGAATACCTGCCATCGTCTCTTAGATTTCACAACACGGTCTCACTACAACGCCGATTCCCCTGAATTTATTCGTAACGTGTCCCACGTAATCCAAGGCGCTGCCGTATCCATCCTATTGGCAGCAATCCAGCAGATGATCAAAGGAGAAACGGGCTAACCTGGATAGGAGAGCTTTGGCGGTGCGTTCCTGGGTCACAGGTGACGACATAGATCTAATCACATACCTAGGTATGCATGGAGATAAGATGAGATGTTCGTTTGGTTCATTGCCTGAGTAGATACTTATCTATGTAGCTTAAATACCTAACTATTTGTAATATACATTTATTACTTAACCCTTTAATATTAGATCGGGGGTGCTACGGAAGAGTCCTTTGAGAATTTGAAGACTTGGCGATGATGATGAGAGAATCGTACCTCCTTAGATA